CTGGGAGCAGCCAGCCACGATGCTTTTCCTCGCCTGCTGCGTTTCGCTCGCATCCCCGTGAAGGTTATAGGAGGCCTTCGTGACTCACTCGCAGATCAGATAGATCCTGCTGAGGGGTTACTGCCTCGCGGTTTGTTTATCGTGCTTGGGAAGGAGCGAGCTCAGCAGGACGTGTCGTCTCCTGCTGAGGGCAACTGCAATGACACGGCTAAGTCCAGCACTTAATAGTCCAGATCATGAATATAATGCAATAATCAGAATCTGAATAAAGCGAAATGCTTTGGTAATCACCGAGCATGGATGGGTGTGAAGCATCTCTGACACCGCTCAGAATTATTATTATTATTACAATAACGATTTTGGGCTGGGCCCTCCCGTGTGTGCTTTGTCCCCGGCAATGCCAGGGTAGAGCCGTGGGCTGGGCTCTTTCTTTGTAGTAGACAGAACAAGGAAAAATAAAATAACATATTAAAGAAAAATGAAATGCAGTGAAGTTGGTGTCACCTCGCTGGGGTAAAAACCAGCGTAAGCAAGATCAGACTCGGTCTTAGCACAGCATAGCATGCCTCCGATTCCTGGCGGCAGTGTACTCGCAAGAGAGCGTTGTCAGGGTGGTCGGCCAGTGCAGAGAGAAAGGTGCTACCTTCCCTAGCTACTCAGCCAGCTCTTCTCGTTGAGTTTATAGCTCCCTTTTGTGACAGAGACCAATTCCAGGCTCTAATTAGAAGTGTTCTCCTGTGCCTCCAAAATGACTGGCTGAAGTGACTTCCGGGTTTGACCTGTTCCCCACAGTCCTCATCAGGACGGTGGATCTGTACCTGGGGGTCCGAAGTGCCGTAGGGCAATCAAGCTGGACTGTCCATAAACCCGTCCCTGCCGGCAGCCCTGGCGTTCCAGTGAGCTCGGTCACTTCTGTCGGCATCGGTGGCTTCATTCTCGCCTGTCCCAGACTCCTCGTAGTCCCCGGCAAGTGGCCTTAACTCGGAGCTGCTCGCCGTCCCAGAAACACAGCCTGCAGATACGTTTAGGATCTATCTGGAAGGACATACCCATAAAAAGCTGATTCATCTTGTCTGAGACCATGAAGTCCATAGATGCATCTGTGAGGTTGCTGAGGATACGAATAGCGTTTGTGACTAATCGGGGTCTTTCTTTACTTCCAGGTTCTGCACTGGCATATTCAGCCTATATTTTCCCAAAAGAATGGGTGAACAGCACTTTCCACTATTACTATGTTCCCATCGCTGTGTTTAACACTGTTGTTAGCACCAGCCTCTCCTGCTATTCCAGGTATAGTTACCTTTTGCTTTATCTGCTCTGATTGCTAAAGCATAATCATTAATTAGTATTATTAATAAAGTTTCATAATTGCAGACTGTGTTGCAATGGTTTGTGCCTTATGGTCAGGAAGGGGAGGAAGAGGATGTTTTAACTTGAGAAATATGTTGCAAGCTGATCCTAGCATAGACTGCAAACAAAGCTGCAAAGCAGTTGGAGAAGTTTTAATTTTTGAAAATTCAGAAGGTAGTTTTGTATTGTATGTCTAGCTGGAAGACAACCGCCTGTTTTGCCTGTAGTCTTTCTAATAGTCTGTAAAGGTTGCAGCCTCCTATGCCACAAACATTTAAGCATGTGCTCAATTTTAACTGTCGAAAGTACTTCTCAGCCTAAGTTTGGTGTGCGTGTGTGTTACAGATTTGCAGAGGAGGAACCCTAATATTCTCACAGTTGACTGCGTTATTTTTAAAGCATAAATAGCATTATGCATATGGTATTGTGTTCTGGAATAGAATTAGACAATTTGTTTTGAAAAACTTTTAAAAATGTCTAAAGTACTTAGCTGATTTCTAGCTATACATTCTCTGCCAGATCTCTAGCAGGATGGTTTTTTTTTTTTAAATTTAATTCATGGTAGATACTTTCTTCAAGGCTGTCTTTCTATCTGCCGTTACAATATCATGCAGTTTGCTTTACAAGAAACACAATTTCTGTTTTCTCAAGGTGGGTGACTAGTTCGGCGTTATTCGTTCCTTCTCTTTTGTGGTGTTAACCCGGCACGGTGCTGCAGTTGTGCTGGCTGGCGTGGGTCGCCGTCACGGCGCCCTGTAACCCCGCAGCGCCGCCCTGGGGGCCTTTCTGCCTCTGCTGCCCCGGCACCGAGCGCGCCTCTGCCCCGGGGCCGTCACCTGCGCCCTAAATGCATTTTGACTGCTGCCACCTCAACAGCGAGAAACGAGTTCAGCAACAAGAGCACGAAACAATAAAGACACCCGGCCGGTTTCGCTGCAGGAGACCGGCTGCTCAGGGCGAGGTGCAGCTGAGCATCAGTGTTTTGCCGAGAGGGAGGGTACAGAGCTCTTGATATTTCTGATGGATCCTGAAATTTTGGCTTATTCTAGTATCTATTGAAAATGAAGGGATTTACTTGTCTTCTGGACTAAGGGTTACTCACCAGAGTAAGTCCCTTGGACCTATATTTAGTCTACGGTACTGCAGAATCGAGGATCACTCCTAGACCGTCTGTGGATGATGCCAGTAGAGACTTGGTATTTCTTCCTTACGCTCCTCATTTCTTTTTCCTTCTTTTTGTCTCTTTTTCCCTCTTATTTTTGTCTTCTGCGTCTCTCTGTTGTTTTGCTAGTTGGGCTTAGCAAGCGAAGCTCACTCACCATGTGCTAACCCTAGTACTTACCTCTTGAAGATAACACTTAGGACATTTCAGCGGCTTGTGGTCTGTTCAAGATTGTTTGGGAATTTTCTAAATTCTTGATCTGCAAATTTAAATGTCAGCATCTCACCACTACTAAACTGTAAGTACAGTTACGTGAAAAATACGCTCCTATTACTATATGACAGAATAACAATTGCTGTTGTCCAGTAATTCTCACTGTAAATTGCATAAGTAGTAAATCCACCAAGCATCACCTTAAAAAAAATCAATGGAAGGTTCCTGGGTCAGCAGAAGTACCCGACACTGGGCCCTGCTGTGCTCCAGCTCCGCGCCAGGGTGGTTCGATCGGCCCCGGCTGACGCCCCAGTGCAAGCGGCGCGAGACCCCCTTGACTGGTGACTGCAGCCAGGGCTTGCCAGATGCTTTTTTTTGGGGGGGGGGGA